ACAAATAAAATTATTCAATTTGTTTACATTTATAACATTTCAAGCGTTGGCTATCAATACCTAAATTGGTTCGTGTGGTCGTTGTTTCCGTGTGTTTACTCGAAGACTCTCTCTCTCTCTCTCTCTCTCACTCACTCACTCATTCACTTACCTCTAAATATAGGGTACAATCGTAATGGCAATCAAATTCCGGTGTGTTATCTGAATGCTTACATATTCCCGACCATTGATTCAAACAGTCAACACCCGATTGTCTGCACATAGTATTGTTTCTAACAGTAAATAAATCGGTCAATACAACGAGTGATTGATTGTTATCCCTTTGTATGTCAAATATCCAAAATTTTTTCTTTGTCCACATTTTGTATACAGACTTCAGTGGCGGACCATAAAACCACTGTCTGTACATTTTAATGCCATTATATCTGCCATTTGTTTGCATGTAATCACATATTGATTGGCATTCAATGACAGTTATCATACAAATTATGGCCACAATTGCTCTCATTTTTGATAATGTTTTGCTATTCAAAGACTTTAATACATAAGACTTATGAAACTAATGTAAAAAAGTAATTGAATCAAAATCTAAACGAAGTTTTGAATTTTGAAAATAATGATCATGGTCTCGTGAGAACAATTATTAAACGTAATATATTATTAAATAAACATGTTTGTATTTATCTTAATTGTTTTGGTTGACAACTTGTCTTAATTGATAGACAGTGTTGTCTGCAAACAAAGTGATGACATCTGATCCCAAATCACAGTATATGTCCGCAAATGCGAATAAATTGTGAATTTAATTAAAAATTTTTGTTGTTTAAAACAATTTCTATTAAAAATAATTTTAAAAAAACATAAATCGTAGAAAAATTCAGTCATTAAAATCTTGTTAAAAATTTAGTCAATTATATTTAATGCATAAAATGAATAAACATTTTCTTTCATCTGAATTATGTTAATATTATAATTTTCTTAACTATAAATTGTTTTGATGTGTAAAATTGCCTTGTATATAATTATTACATTTTACATCAAATTAATATTGAGTTACACCTTATAACCGAAATTTTATTTAAAACTTTATTAAAATAATGTAATAATTAATATTTTGTGATACAATTTATTGTATTAAACTACTATCTAATAAGTTCTATACTTTAATAAGAGTTATATATTAAAATCTACAATAATAGTTATAATCTTTTAAAAATAAGTTTATATTAAGCCAATTAACAGTGTTAAATAATTTACTGAATTGGGAACAAGAACATTTTTATAATATAACCATAACCATAATAAGTTGAGAGACACTAATTGGTAGAAATGGTTTTCTGAATCCAATCAATATGTGTGGAAACTCTGGCGTAACCATTGGTACTTCCGGGTGGGGGTAAGCACTTTGTGAGACGTTCAGTCACTCCAAATACAGCTACACCGATGAGCACAGCCCTGCCGTTTGCCACCTGCCATAATCCACTCCCGGAATCACCCTGAGCAAATTATTTTTGCGTAACACATATATTGGAAACATATTAAAACCAAAATTATAACTGCACTAATTATAACATT